TAAACTCAATTCGCTACTTGAACAGTGATAATAACCGGGTATCATAACATTTGTCCATGATTTGTTGTGCGTAAAATTAGGCACTGTCAAAGTTTACTATTTTTATAGGTTGCTAAAAAAAAGAACAATTAAAAATGGACGTTTGACTGGCAGATACACTGCAAGAAAGGGGAGTCGATGCGGCTGCGATAAATATGCTAATCATCACAAAAAACCTCCCATAAGTTTCCACTCTAGGACTTCTTTTAGGCGTACAAGCTAAGGCGCGCTTGATTATTTACAAATTTGCAAAGGATTTTTGCGCTGCCTTTGATTTTTGAAGATTTGGAGATTTGCAGTCAGAATGAAAGTCAGTAGGATGATGCGAATAAAATTATTATGATAATTTTGTTGCTGCTAGCCAAATTTTATAGAGAACCAATTAGAACTAGCATTTCGGTAGATACGAAAAAAAAAGTTTTATATCTCATGTCTTAGCCCGATGTAAACCTCGATTTCTTCCTGAACGTGACGAATTTTGCTTGCAAACAAATAGGTCAATTTCCCATTTCCAGCATGAGTCCTCGCACCCTCAGAGATAGCAGTTTGAAATTTTGACAACCAAAATATTGCCCTTTTCTGTGTTTCTCAATTATTAAAACTGCTATTCTCATGAAAAAGATAGCCCTCTTATTCATTTGTTTCTTGACTAGCTGTTCCAGACAGTAACGATATTCTGGATTTTGATTTGGGTCTACGCTAGCATTACCGCAGTGACCTCTGGTTACCTGTGGTCTTTGGAATGGTTAGGAGGCCCACAGTCAGATAAGACTGCCATTAGTCACGACATCACTAACGACCATTACGTGGATCCGAACGAAACGAATCCCGAAACCAAGAAAGGTAATTTGCGATGGATTTGATATGTTTTGTTAAGAAACTATGCATCTTAGCTATTCAATATGGCTCTATTATACTTGTGGTCTCTCTCGTTGTGCTTGTTCTGAAAATGGTGGCTTGGAGTATTGCCAGGCGGGTATTTAAGGAACT